TCGAACATTACTATCTCTAGCATCATGGCCATTGCAATCCACATAATCTTCAATTTAATATTAGTTATTAAGAAAAGAAAGTGCACTTAACTTTAATTATAAAAAATCAACCGTAAGAGTATATTTGATGAACCACAAAGTGACAATACAAAAAAGACGCTTAGTTCGGCTTCAACAAGCATACTTCCACAACCACCCGGATATCAAAATATTCTACTGGAGATTGAAAAAAGTTACCTAGAGATTAAAAGACAAAGTCGCTTACTTTATTGCTAAAGACCAAAGATATAATTAGAGAATAAGTTCCTATAAGATTCAATGAGTTAAATTCTATTCTTGCGACAACAAATGACTCCACCCTTTTGTCTTCCTGTAAGTAGAAAATAAGGCTTCATTAGAACTCCTTTTCAGGATACATAAAATCTGCTCATATACCAGTAATCAGACTCCCTTACCTCTCTATTTTTGCTACAACACCTACTACACTCAGGCTTCACTACAGTGCTCGTCAGTTACAACACCTTATTGATAGTTGAACTTCACTCCTCCATCTTAATGGAACTGATTTACCGTAGAATGCATATGGAGTAGCCAAAATAGAAATTTATAGTAAGAAAAATGCAAATTTTTTTTAAAACTCTGAACCCAACTTATAAGTTTAAGAAAAATCACTCAAACAAAAAGTCTCTCAAATTTTCTCCCTTCGCAAAACAAGACTCAATCAAGAGATTAATAATTATAATAAATTACATGCAATATATAGTATAAGTAATGAAATTAGGCAGATACAACCTAACTAAAAAGACCAACATCATAGTTGAGCCTTGTTTGACTACAGTCAGAGCATGAAACATAACAACATTGCTCTAGTGTGCAAAGTTAATTGGAGGTCAATTTATAATACCATATCCATAGTATACTAACTAGTATAATACAATCAGCTTTTTGAATAGAATATTGAAAAGAATTCACCCACTTTTTGAGAACCTTTTGCCAAACACAATGTTCCATGGCATAAAAAGTAGATACATTTTTCGCATACAAATTGATTTTCAAAACTTACAAATAATGATGATACCGTATTGGAAACAACCTTATGATTGAATACGGACTTCTTCTTTTTTCTCTAATAATAACAGCATATATTAACTTAATCGATCCATTCAAATACTGAAAAATGAGGGGCAAATAATTGGATTGAGGGGCTATTTGGTTTCATGCATTATGAATGTGAAGTAAATAAAATGTAAGAATTTTGGATTTTTCCATATTTGATCTAAACTAAAAGTAATAAATTCTTATGTATTAGTAATACCTCAAAAAGTTCATTTATTGCATATTGAAAACCGCCTCAAATTGACCAAAATCCAAATTTCTTGCGCTCACTTTCCTCCTTCCCATGTTTTGTTAAACACACACCCACGCCCCATTCATTCTCCTAAGCAAGCGATTTCACAGAGAAGGTCAAGAGCCCTTGTCGTAGCAACTGCACCCCCCACCATGAAGCCCTCTTCTCATGACTTCACAACCCCCTTTCTCAATCATTATGAACTCTTGACATCTGTCGTAGGCCTCCCTTCATCGCTATCGAACCCCCTATTCATCCCTTGTCCCTGCCTTAAATCTGCCTTCAAGGTTATCAAACCTCCACAACTCTGAACATTGTGCACTTCCCTTCTCCCTTTCAATCATAAACTTCAATTATTAGGAGATTATTTTTAATATTTGGTTATATATATATATATATATATATTCCAAACTGAATAACAAATATTTACATTTTCTTTATCATTTACATTTTCATTAATGAGATTACTAAAGTACAATCTTCTCCTTATTCGCATATCTTTAATAAATAGAGATTGCACTAATGTTCCTTAGCTTTAGATTGTACCAATGCTCCAAAACATGAAAAAAACCAAAAGAATTAAAACCAAAATTATGGCAATGTTCCTTAGCTTTATATACAGATTTTTTTTTTTTCATCAAATGAATTACTCCTTTAAAGTAAATTTCCTTTCATTCTTTTTTACATATGCCCTAAGAATAGCCAATGATTACATGATAGTGAAGATTGATCATCCAATTGGGATGAGATTTGGGATGACACATAGTTAGGTCAAAATCAAATTAATTCAATTGTTCATGTTGTTATTGCTATTTTAGTGACAATCAATTAGTATTATTATACAAGGTAAGAAGAGAATGATGAAAATATAATCCTGAATGAAATATATAAGGCGAAACATCTCCATAGGCTATATTTTGAATCTAATTCTGATTGTATTGATATGGTGTGAATGAGGTGAGAGCCTTTTTTTCTTTTCAAATTATGTAATTTAATGCACATTAGAAGATATTTATAGACACAATCATTTGTATTCATCAAAAAGCAAGTTGCTATGTTACTTCATACACCTGGGCATGATGTTCGTAATTGAGTCATGCAATTATACTTTAATGATCAAAGAAAATTGTAATTAGGTACTTGAATGCTAGATTATATGCCGTAGGAGAGTTATGACATAAATTAATTAAAACAATCAAATAATAGGTTCATGTACTTATTTAAAGTACAATCATATCTCATGTTTCAAAATATTCTTACTTATGTGTTCTTACTATAGTTTATAAAAAATAGAAGAAAGATGGAATGCACATTAAAGCTATTGATGCCTAGGGAGCATGAACTCATATTTAAAGAATAAAATCATGCACAAGCTAGAGTGTGCTAAAAATAGTAGACATTGACTTTGTATTTGCATATATTCTAGCAAATTTGGAAGGTTCAATACATAATGCAACTGTCTTTTGAAACGAATTAAAACAACCACATGATTTAAAAGTTCAAGAAAATACAAAATTTTACTCCTACATAACATTCCATAATTAGTTGTGATATCTCAATATTTGATAACTGAAGTAAATATCACTATTGAATATTATCTAGTTGATGGAGGCTAATCTATCAAAAGAGAGTTTATATCTTTATATCATGTCACACTATACTACACAAAGGAGTTTAATGATTCCAACAATCAAATTGCAAGGAGATATTCAATATTAAACATTCATCACTATGCATAGGCATGCATTTGGTTCTTTAAAAAATTATCCAAAAATTACATAGTGCAATCCTTAGCCCTTACTTGTTGCATATTACATAAATGGATTATTATAAAAGGAGGCCATGATTTTTGCTCTCTCAAAAGATGAGTGGGCAAGAAGAAAATATGCTAGAAGGAGACATGAAGCAATTTTATATGACTCTTGAGAGTGGTTGTAAAAAAGTGACCAAATTACTATTATGAAGTAGAATCGCATGGGCAATATTGGTTCTTAGTTACATTGTCATCATACACTTTTTTGAAATACATTTTTTGTAGACATTTCTACTTTTTTTTGTAAATGAAGATATTTTTTGGTTGGTAGAAATCCTTTTTATTGGAGATAGAATTATAGATTTATTTTTTTTTTGTGAACATATGTTTTTGGCATGGTAATTGTTATTTTTAGGATAAATTGAACCACTCCAGTCAAATATTTTATCAGCTTCTAAGAGGAAATTTTTTTTTATGGAGCTTGAAACAAAAGAAGATAACTGGGTTATTACAATTTATGTTTGAACATATTCATGCAAATATAAGAAGTGCTCAAGACTTCAAAGATGTTGTATACCAACCTGTTGCACAAAAATTGAAAGAAAAATTGAAAATTAAGTTCAGAGCTGAGCAATGTAACGATCAAATTTAACCTTAAGAAATTCTATGGCTTCACATTCAATGAGTTAAAAAAGAAGTGTGGAGTATCCTGAGATGAAAACATAAAAAGGATATTGATGTATTATGAGAAATATGCATCACTTAATTAAGTATTCTTTCTTAGGAAGTCTTTTATTTAAAAAATACCAACTTATATAAGGCTAATACTTTATGTTTGTTGTGTTATAGGCTTTTCTGAAAGATGCAGCTTTTTTTAATATTTCAATTGCAAATTATATAGAGTTAGAGAGGCTATATTGTTAAGGATATGCTACTGAAAAGTAAGTTGAGTTTGATAATTTTCAAACTTCATATCGTATTCACCAAATTAATTTGGATGAAGACAGGCCATAGGTTTTGCAGAGACTAGCAAAAATGCATCCTAAGCTATTGATTGGGCTGAAGTGAATATTAAAGAATATTCTTCATGAACAACAAAGAAAGCAATATCATCATCTTTCAATTGATGCGTCATATGAGAAAAAATGAGGGGCTTGGTGTGCATCAAACTCTCCATGACTATATTGTTATGATAGCTGATAGTATAGGACAATTGCTAATGAAATTCAAAATATAATGAGAGAGTTTAAGGAAAAAAAAAGATGCTTACTAAACACATGACAAGTCTAACAAATATTCTAGGTTTTTCTCAGTTAGAGATTACAATGATATACAATAATCTTACTAAACACATGACAAGTCTAACAAATATTCTAGGTTTTGCTCAAGTATTAATTTTTTTATGTTAAAACATTGAGGTGGATAATCTTACTACTACATTTCAATGATGTATCATACTCCATATCTTACACCCAACCAAATATAAGGAATAGTTCCCCTATATTTACTTTAGAGACAATTAGACAACTTTGAAAACTCATAATATACTACATTTACTTTACATTTAATATACAGATGAATTCTAAATACAATGAAACAAATAGCCCTTGAGCCAGCTCCAAAGGAGCTTCCTACAATCTTGCTCATCTAAACTTAGCGCAAGCAGGGGCTCACGCAGATTTCACAATATTGCATGAAAGGATTATGGATCACAAAAATTGAACTTCTTCTTAGCATGAGGTATACTTACGTTCTATGGTCAATTCATAGCTCCCTAATAAGAAAACGAATTTATATAATTTAATTTCAGCTTTTTTATTTTGATACTCAGACATACCTTTAACCATTCAAAGATGTCAAAAAGATTATTTCGATCAGGTTGCTAAAATCGATACTTACAGCAACTTTGGATTCGAAAGGGTGCTCATCTTCAAGATGGGAACAGAGTGAAATGATGTCATGGTCCTCGTAACAGTAGGGGCACGGAAAATCAGGGCGGACCTCCTCTTCCACCTCGTATTCATCAAAGTCCAACCGATCTGAAAACCAAATGACAAGGAAAATACGCCGATTAAACATATGAAGGTGGGGGAAGAACTGATTGACCGAGAGAGAAAAGCTAAGAAGTACCAAAGACCTGATTGGGAGCTCTGCTGTCGCTGATTCAAGTAATGCCTCTTCGCGGCAGCTAGGCGAGAGATCCAACTATCGGAATCCATTCAGAATTGAATTCCTGGAAAAAAAAAAAGACGGCAAATCTCTTTTCTTCTCTTCTCTTTTCTTCTTCTTCTTCTTCTTCTCTCTCTCTCTCTCTCTCTGAACTCTACAAGAAAAAATTCCTACCTTTTCTTCAACTTCTATGTTCTTCTAGACAAATCTTCTGCTTTTCCCCTGTTTTTCAGCAAGTTTTACTTCTGATCTGCTGTTGAAGATTTCAGAGAGAAAGAGAAGGAGATCGGGAGCGAGAGGAGAAGGGCAGAGTATTAAAAATGAGTTCTTTTTATTGGTTCTAGTGAGACCCAGTCGCAACGCGTCCGGAGAGGCATAGCACGTTGTTATCAGCTTGAATCAGATCTATATAAAATAATAATAGCGAATATTAGCTTAATATAATCACGTAAATAAAAAAAAGGAAAAAGATGCGGATTGAGTGAATAGAAAAACTCTTTCATCTACTGATTTATCCGCATTGTCAAAGAAATGCTAGGATTTCTGCACGTTGTAAAAGGACCAAAAATCTGAACTCAAAGTGTACAGTTTTGTTAAACTCCACCAAGCAAGGCTGAATCTGCAAACAAGAAAGAAGTGGGTACCTTGTCAATTTTTTTTCTTTTTAAATTAGAAATTATGATTCCCAAAAGCGACAACCTTCCCCAACCTGGTATTTGCCAATAGGCGGTAGGAGCTGGATTTGCCGCTAAAGGCAGTAGGAGGAAGCTTCAGTACATGGAAAAATTATTATGTAAGGACAAAATATCGAGTATACTGAGCACGGTACTGAGTGCGGTATTGAGTATGGTACCGAGCGCCCAAATGACGTGGTGCTTTGTTATTGGTCTCTAGACGCATTCTGTATCCGGATACAATAATTACTCCAGTACATATGTGTCGCACCAAGTCGCCCACACAACTTTGAAAGGTGCACTTGCAACAATCATCTTAAATGGGATGGCATTTAATTGAAGCAGTTGAAGACTTGAAGGTAAGCTACAATCTAGGGCTGAACTTGAATATTACATGAATTTTAAAATCTTATATAAATTTATTTATTTTTTATTAAATTTAACTAATTGAGTTTTAATCAAACCTAATTAAAATACTATTAATTCAATCAGTATTATTTATTATTGGATCTAAAATTTTTCATGAATTATTGACAAGCCAACTTAGTGAGTGAGGGGGTGAGTTGTAAAAGTGCTCTGATACCACTTGAAAGTTTGTCAGAGATGTTAAGCCCTTATGAAGTAATCCCGAGGCTAACTAAGAGGGGGTGTATTGGTATTTAAAAAATTTCTCCAAACAAAAACACAAACACAACCAAACCAAGATTTACCATAAGAGAAACGAAGTGCGGAAATTAAATGTGAAAGAATAATAAGAAAGAACACACCAGATTTTATAGTGGTTCGGTCAACTTGACTTACGTCCACTTCTCGGAGCCTCTCCTTCGAGTATTACACTAAACTTAGTATCTCTCCTTTTGCCCTCACAGTAAGGCGGAGAAGCCCGTACAAAAACTCCTTTCCACCAACCCCGATGAGGCAGAGAACTCAACTCCTTTTGCTTCCTTTTAAAGCAGGCAGAGAACCTCAACTCCTTTTGCTTCCTCCTAAAGCAGGCATAGAACCTCGATCAATTGCTATAGTATACCTCTCTAGAACCACCGAAGAACAAGGGACGACGACCAAAGAAGTCAACTCCGATCCTTGCTTGGAGCAACCTTTTATGAAACCCCTCATAAACTCTCCCTCACAAGATCCTCTCTCTCTCTGTCCCTTACTCTCCCTCTCCTCTAGGCTCTCTCAGGTCAAGACAGCAGCAAAAGATACAATCTTGTGTAAATAAGATGTCTTATATAGAAGATCTTTGGATTCACTCTTAATTGCAACAAACCGACATTAACATCTAGGATGATCGTCCGATCATCCTGTATGATTAGTACAAATTCAGCTCAATTAACCAGGACGATTTGGGAAAATCTGGGCGATTAGAAGGTTCCTTTGTTCAGATCATCTAGGATGATATACAATCATCCTGCATGATTAGTTCAAGTCGACGAATATCATTCAGACCATCGCCCTTAATAGATGTCTGGACGATGAAAAAGTAACTTGATCATCTAGGACGATCTCACGATCGTTCGAGCCTATATTAGTACAAAATGTCACATATCATCCAGAACATCATCCTGGATGGATGTTTAAACGATGTAAAATTAACTAGATCCTCCAGGCCAATCTCACGATCGTTCGAGATGATTAGTACAAAACATCACATATCGGTCAGAACATCGCCCTAGATGGAGTCATACCGATTATGAATCGTCCAAGAAGAACTAAAATTTGTTAACTGATCATCCCGGACGATCATGTGATCGTTCCGGATGATCATGTAATTATTCATGACGATATAATTGAGCAATCAAACCTTATTAGCTTTCCTTAATTACTAGATTAATTTATACATAATTGCACTGCATCGTTGAGGATGATGTCCTGGACGATGTCCAAAAATAACACATGCCTAAATAGGTTGTGGCAGCTAATTCTTTCTTTTTTGAGCCTATCGTCCTGGATGATACGATGCTAATATCGTCCAGGACGATTCGCTTAATTGCGTCTGCCTTAACCAAGATGCCTTAATTATGATTTCTATTTTTAACTGATCATTAAAGATGATATTTGGATCATCCCAGATTATGTGATCAAAATAGAAAATACTAACAAAACAGACAAAATTTTTCCCCAAGTGTGTGTGTACAAGGTTACTTAGTATTATGACCCACATTATTATAATGGACTCAATAAAAGATAAAAGACACTTCGCGTATATTACAAGCCAACTTAGTCCTAATCTACCCAATCTTGTGCTAGTTTGATTTGTAATTTGATCTTATGGACCTAAAATGTTAGTAGGTAAGGTAGTCAAAGAAAAATAGAAATATTTGTTATTATCAAAATTATTTTCCCTGGAATCATATTCATAACAATCTTTTCCTTTTTGATGATGGAAAATAATCAAGACTAAATAAAACACAAACAGAAGTAAAATAGTATGACGAAACAACTCAACCACCACCTACTACTCCCCCTTTTGACATCACAAAAAGGAGGAGAAAAAATAGAAAAGAAAAGCATAACAGAAGATAAAAAAGAAGAATGAAAGAAATTTTTTTGTCAAAGCACGAATATGATAAATTCTTCATGTGATTGAATTTAAAAATTTGTAAGAATAATGAGTTAACATTGTCAAAATCCAAAAAATGATAGAATAGCTGATCCTGTTAGCCCTAACTCAATCTTCTCTCAGGGCAAATCATCTTTTGAAAATAAAAGTCCTAATTCAGAAAAACCAATTGAATAAGAAAAAGAGATTTATTCAAAACTTGGTTTCAAAAAAACATTTTATAAAATAATATATTAAAGTAATTTATCACAAGTATAAAATTCAAAATCAAGCCCTTAAAAATATCAAGTGACACATGAATTCTTCTAAGATTTAAAGGTTTGAAAGAGAAGGAAGCTTTCCTTTTGTGGGCTCATTTTATGCCTCTCGTCAATTGATTGACACACTTTGTGCATCTTTTGATTTTTGATACACTTTGTGTTTATTTCTAAAAAATTTTTTTTTGCGGTCATTACGTATCTTTATAGTGTTTCTTCTTTTGGGGGCTCATTTTATGCCCTTGTCATTTTTTGCATGCTATATCCCATTTCAAAACTCTTAAATACTCTCAGTTATGAGCATATATTCCAGATATTAGAGAAGAAAAGCTTACTCTCTAATATAAAAAAAATAAGCTACAAAATGGAATCAAATTTATATGATAAATGCAATGACCACTACAGGAAAGCCGGTATTACCGACAGACAAAATCCGCCGGCAATACATAAAATACAATGGAAAGCCCCGGTTTGGTGCGCCTCGAAAAATGTCTTCCGACGTATATAAGAAGCTGGAAATCTTTCCTGTGCACTTTTCGATGCCTTACCGACAAAAAATATGTTAGAAAAATGGTGTTTCTTTACCAGATTATTCCGGTGTTATATACGCCAGAAGTTACGGCGTATCTGTCTGCCGGAAATGCCGACGGAGAAAATGCCGTAAGGTGCGTCGTAACTAAAGCTACGACTTATTTTCGGCGCCCTTTTCCATGGTAGAAACTCCGGCTAACAAAACGCCGTAAGGTGCGCCGTAGATAAAGCTACGACTTGTTTCCAACGCCTTTTCAACTGGTACTTCCGCTGGAAATAAAATATTGGCAAGGATGCAGCAATTCGTTGTATCGTCATTTTTGGCCTATTTTCGATGCCAAATCTGTCGGAAACCTGTAGCTATAATAAAAAAAATTGCCTTCCCACGCAATAATCAGATTTCCATACCTACAAACATGTATAAATACACACAATAATAGTTCCACAACACAGATCTACACATCACAAATCTCAAGAACTTTAACATACACTTAAAAACATAATTGTCCATTAACACATTGTTCAATAGCGTCAACCAACTAATATTAAAAATATCACAGATTGTTCAATAACATATATTCAAAAAAGTAAACAAGTTCATATGACTAAACTAAACTATTCTGAATCCGTGGACTCATCCTCAGCAAGAGAAACCTCTTTTCCACTCAATTGCACCCTCATTTTGTGCATTTCATCCAACAATTGATTGTGTTACTCCTGCATCTGCACTTGAACCTGTGCTTGCAACTGAACTTGCCAATCAGTTTGTGACTTCCTTACTTGTTATAGCTCCGCTTGAAGGACAGTTATTTGTTGAGCATGTAAGGACTCATGTGAACTAGCTATGAAGCTCGATCCATAGAGGTCATGCCCTCGTATGCTTGAGCTTGCAAACCTAAATCATAAACCCTACCATGTTGCATTCCTCTAATGACTTGCGATGAGATGTGGTACTCAGAATACTCCACAGAGCTGCTAGAACAACCCTCACCTGATGCGGCCTGACTCTCTCGAAGCCGTGTATACTCCTCATATGAAAGTAGAATATAAATATATATAATTGAGAGTAAAAATAGAAATTATTAAACACATATACTTACATGGGCTTTTCTTGCTCGCTCATCGATCCATTGTTGATCCTCCTATCACTTATGAGTGTGACTATGCAATTCCACAGGAGTTGGTTCTCTACCCAGCATCTCTTTCTGTAAGAGAATTCTATTAATATTTCTATTAAAGAAAAAATTTTAAAAACTTTTAAAATTCATTACCAAATGTTGCCTGTGCTCAGTATGTGGAACGGAGCCACCAGTATGAAGGGAACTACCCAAGC